TGTGGGCGATGGGGGCCTACCCGGTTACCTACCTTCTCTCTTATCCGCCCCCCTCACCTTCTCACCTGCACCAACTTGGTTCAGCTCACCGTTTCTCCTGGGGATCACCCCACCAGGCTCCCTGCTATTTTCTTCAGGCCCCAAGGTTTGTCCCCTTTCAGCTCACCCTTGACTGGGCTTCCCCACTCTCTTTCCAAACAAAATGCAAACCTGACCGCATCTGGCCCCAGCCTAAAGTCCTGGAGTGACTCTTCAGAGGATGAAGTTCATGCTTCTTGGCCCATATGGGCCTTGTTTATCTCTGTGCTCCCCACCTCCCCTCCCTGCACACCCCATCTCGCTAGCTGTCCCGGGCCTCATGACTTAGGGTTCTGGAATCCTGGTGCTGTGTCTTGCCTCTGGCCCCTTCACACCTGTGCTTCCTGTCTCTTGAACATAGTCCCCTGTTGGCTCTGCCTTCCTCTCCTCCCGACCCCTCCAAATCTAAGCGCCACCTCTTTGGGGGAGCTACACACTGTGATTTAGCTGCTCATCCGTGTTCAGACATCGCTCTGTGCGCATCTCCATTTGGGTATGTGCCACAGCTTCATCTCTGACCCCCTTACGTGTCCCTTCTCTCTCTCCAAGTCCCATGAGGGCAGCAGCTGTGTCTTACCTAACTTTGCATTCCTTGCACCTCGGCTGGCACCTCTGGCACACGGAGGGTGTTCAATAGATCCTGAATGAAATCTTGAGCCGAGGGAATATATCATTTTCATCTTCATCTTCGGAAACTGTGAGGTGGCTACGGTTAGACTAGGGTCTACCAATAAGGATCGTACATTCGTTTCTTCCACTTTACAGACAAGAGACTTTCAAACAGTTGCCGGGAGAGTCGGGACTTCGAAGTGACAACCTGGAAAAGGGTTGTACCCTTTGGGTAGTAATTCTACCTCTAGAAATCCCTCCTCAATAATCAGAAGCAGAAAAGCTTTATTCACCAAGATGCGCATCACCAAGTAATTCATGATAGGAAAAATACTGGAAAAAATAGAGAAATAATTCAACATCCAGAATTATCGTACATAATGCAACTGAACGTTATAGTGCCATCATACACGGCTTCCAAAGAATGTTTAATCACCCAGGACAACGCTTCTGTTATGCTCGGTAAAAAAAAAAAAAAAAAAAAAAAAAAAAAGATGGATAGAAAACTAACAAAAATTGTAAAATCTTAAATCACTTAAATGAGAAAAAAAAAAACCTTACACTAAGCAGAGAAATAAGATTTGACAGAAACATACCAAAATGAACTCTTTAGTAGTTATGTCTTGGGTGGTTTTTGTTTTTTAATAATCTTTGGCATTTCCTTGATTTTCTACAATGGGCACCTTTGCTTTTACAGCCAGAACTACAAAAACTGTTAAGTTGTAATGAGCATCTTTTGTTTTGTTCCTTCTTCCTCCCACGGGAGTACCTCAGTTTTTCTTTGGGGACACATCCTTCCTCATTCTTAGACCTCATGGTGTGGGTGAAATGGACCCTCCGCCCCGGGCTCCAGGGGTGGGTGCGGGATCCAGACGCAGTCAATCATCACATCGTGCCCATCTGGCTTCAGTGGTGGGTCCCAAGTGAGCATGTGACTTTAGCTGGGTCAATACTTGTATAGGAGATGTTCATGGGGGCAGAAAAGCTCTGCTCACATTCATACTAATAAGCTGTGAGCCTAGAGCTGCCTAAGTGCATATGAAGACAGGAAGCCATACAGGCGTGTGCTGCTGAAAGATGGACGTGGAGCAAATGCATGTACACACACACACACACACACACACACACACACATCACTCCACACCACACCTCACCACACACATCACCTTCAAGTCCTGGTGACTTTGAATTCTTGAATCTAGGAAAGTCTCGAATGCTATCATCACTGCACTTTCCAATTATAAGATCCATAAATTTTAGGTTTTTGGTTTTTGGGTTGAGTCCGTTTGAGCTGAGTATCTTTTCTTTTTTTTTTAAGATTTTATTTATTTATTCATGAGAGACAGAGAGAGAGAGAGAGGCAGAGACACAGGCAGAGGAAGAAGCAGGCTCCTTGCAGGGAGCCCGATGAGGGACTCGATCCCAGGACCCCGGGATCACACCCTGAGCCAAAGGCAGATGCTCAACCACTGAGCCACCCAGGTGCTCTTCTTCTTTTTCTCTTTTTTTAAAGATTTTATTTATTTATTTGATAGGGGAGGAGGGGCAGAGGGAGAGGGAGAAGCAAACACTTGGATGAGCAGGGAACTCAACATGGGACTTAATGCCAGAACCCTGGGATCATGACCTGAGCCAAAGGCAGATGCTTAACCGACTGAGCCACCCAGGCGCCCTGAGCTGGGTTTCTACAAGTTGCAATCAAGAGTCCTCGCTAACCCAGTTATGAAAACAATGAACTACGTAAAATATAATTCATAAAAGGCTGCAGGAGGGCTGCCACACAAAAAAGTACAGAATTGGCCCTGTACACCCTACCTGACGACGTAAAACATTTCCATCGTTGTGTTTCTATTGCACGTGTTCTGAAACAGAGTTCACTCGCGTAGCACGTCGTCCTCGCAGTGCCTCCTACTACGCCTTCTTTCGGTACATGGCTGGCGTGAGGTGTTGTTAAACGTAGCTTGTAACCCTAAAGGCACAGCGGCTGGCGGCTTCCCGTTATGCCTGGTATTCAGTCTTCCACTGCTGGACCTGAGATTTGGGGTCTCTCAGGAAAGAGCTTGGAGTGAATGAAGGGGTACTTGGGGGTTTGGGGCAGTGACTTTTTTCCCAGTTGATTCAGAAGGACTTCAATATTCTAACAACCTGTATGGCCAACTTGGTGTGTCTTGGCTGAACACAGACCACGTTAGCAGAGATCAGAGTTTCTTTGGGGGGGATCTGCCTACCTTCCCAGGCAAGGACTTTGTCTTTATGAATTATTGGGGGTCTTGCGCCTACCAAGGTGTTCAATAGATATTTGGGATGACTGACAGCCCAGCGTTGTATAATTCCCTATTCTGTTTTTTTTTTTTTTCTGATAGAGGTTTCCTGCCTAGAATTAAATTGCAATATGGTCCCTTTTCACCCGCTCTGCTGAAGACTTGTTATCGTCTCCAATATCAGTTGATTGAAGAAGAAAATTGTAAATTTTCTCTCTCAGGCATAATGTCGATATTTTAACTCACAGTGATTTTTTTTTCTTGCTACAAAATGGATTTTAGAGATAAATCAAGATCCCAGAAACTTATGATTGCTTTGAGTGGTAGCTTTTATCTCTGTCATCCCAAGAAAAAGATGTGGTCTGATGGCCCAGAGCACAAACAGAGACCTTTGAATTTCAGTTTTCCCGCAGCTGTATGACTTGACATATTTGCTAGGACATGACATGGGGGTGGGGGGTTCCCAGTCTTGACTCTAAGGAGGGTGGCAGGGTCCACCTTTGTCTATTAAAAAAGGGTCCTCCCCGTACCCAGCTCTTCCTTGCTCAGAGTAGACACTTAGATGCTTGTTGAATGAATACATGAGTTTAAGGAGAGGCAATCATACATATTGACTTCCAAGCGATAATTTTTTGAAAAGATTATTTATATATTTACTTGAGACAGAGAGAGAAAGAGAGAATGAGTGCAAGGACGCGCAGAGGGAGAGAGAGCAGCAGACTCCCCCACTGAGTGGGAGCCCGATGCGGGGGGGGGGCTCCATCCCAGGACCCCAGGATCATGACCTGAGCAGAAGTCAGACGCTTAGTCGACTGAGCCACCCAGGCACCCCTAGCAGTGATCATTTTTAAGTGATTAGCTTTAAAGCTCATTTCTTTAAAAAAAAAAAAAACTAACTTGGGTCCTATCATCATGCAACAGGAGAGCTTTCGATATTCCATAAAGTGGGGCGGTTGCTTACACATTCTGGATGTCATTTTAGAGAAAAGTCCAGGTATATCGTATATTATTCGACCACTTTTTCCGATGGGCACCCCCCCTTTTTTTTTTGTCTCTTTTCCACTCTTAAGCTCTCTGCTAAGGTGTTTTACTGGGTCTGTTAAGCAGCCAAGGGGAAAGGCCGTCGTACCTGGAGTCAGCCTCAGAAGGACTCCCTCGGCCCTGTGCCTGCTGTGCGATCTGAGGCCACTTTCCAACCCCAGGTGCGGAGCACTGCGCGGTCCCTGCCTCGCAAAGCTGCTGCGGTGAGCCTCAAACCGGATTCAGAGCCCGGAGCAGCGTCAAGGCCCCGGGGCTGCCTCGGATGGAGCCCTTCAGGGCAGGCCGTGGGGGCTGGTTCGCGAGAATCGCTTTGCTGATACGTGGCCCCTGGTGCAGCTGGTGCAGGTTAGGGCAGCTAAGGGGACCCGGGGACGGGGCTCTGGCTGCGAGGCAGGGGCGCGGTGCGGATGATCCGCCGGGGTGCGGGGTGCGGGGTGGGGGGGTGTGTCGGGGGGTCGGGGTGGGGGCGGGGGTCGGCGGGCGGAGGCCGCAGGTGCGCTCCCGGCGCGGAGCAGGTGAAGCCGAGCGGGGTGAGTGACCTGCGCCCCCGGGGTCCCCACGACGGACAGCGAGGGCAGAGCGAGCGGGGGCCTCACCACTAGTCCCCGGCGCCCCCCGTTCCTGCCGGCCCCTGCACCCCCCGCCCCGGGAGCGAGCTCGGCGGGCGCGGCGCTCGGCGGGACCTGCCAGTTGGCCCTCGTGCGGGAGCACCTGCCAGGTGGCGGGCCCGCGCCCTCAGGTGCGCTGGGTGCGCGGCTTCACACGGCCCCTCCCCGGGAGCCGCGCCGGGCCCCGACCACATCACGGGGAGGCGGAGAGGGGGCGCGAGGCAGGGCCCCGGGGATCAGCCCGTCGGCGGCGCGGCGGCCCGCGAGCCCCGGGCGGGGGGGGGGGGAGGCGAGGAGGGGCGCGGGGAAGGGGCGTGGCCGCGCGCGGAGGGAGGGCGCTGGGAGGAGGGGCCGCGGCTCGGCGCTCGGCGCTCGCCGCTCTGGGGGCTCGGCTCCGCCGCGCTCCGAGCACTTGGGCGCGAGCAGGAACGGGGAACGGAGCTCCGGTCCCAGCGCAGCCACCGCGATGAGAGGCGCTCGCGGCGCCTGGGATTTTCTCTGCGTCCTGCTCCTGCTGCTCGGCGTCCAGACAGGTGGGCCCCCGGGTCGCGCGCCCCGCGTGCCCACCCCGGCGCCGCCGGCGCGCCCCGGGGCTGCAGCCCGCTGGCCGGGGCTGGGGCTGGGGCTGGGGGTGGGGGTGGGGGTCCCGCAGGGGTGCCCGTGCTTCTCCGCCTCCGGAGGCTCGAGGCGTGCCCGGGACGCCCCCGCGCCCTGCCTCGCTCACCTGCGCGGGGAGCCCCTGGGGCGGGCGGCGGGGGCGCGGGGCTGGGGTCCGGCGGGGCGGGAGGGCGCGAGCCGTGCGGCTCGGGGCGGCTTTTGTGCGCGGGGCGCGCGGGGGCCGAGGCGGGCGGGTCCGGGGTCCGCACCCAGCGCGTTACCTCCGCGCGCCGACCGAGGCGCGGCCGCTGCTTCCTTTTGTTGAAAGTTGCGCGTGTGAGGCCGGAGCGCGCAGGTTCGCGGCCGCGCCGAGGGCGAAGTTGCAGAGGCTCCTCTCTGCACACCGCGGGCGCCCTTTGTGGCCCGGAGCTGGGGACAGAGCCGCGCCGCCCGGCCCCGCCGCGCCCCGGGTCGCCCCCCGCCCCCGGTTATAGGCGTGTCCGCCCGGGGAGCCGGACCCCTGAGCCTGGAGGCGGCGGCTGCGGGGACAACTTGGGCAGGGCGCGTGCAAAGCCGCCGCTAGGCTGCAGACTTTCTGCTGTTGGAGATCCCACGCCGGAGGCTCGCCCCTTTCCGCCGCGGGGCCGTTTCTTTCCTGCCACGCGCCTCCGAGCGGCCGGGAGGCAGGGACCGCGCGCGGGGCGCCCCGTGCCCCCCCCGCCCCCCGACGGCCCGGCGGGGCTCTGCAAGCCGCTCCAGCCGGGTCTGCGCCCTGGAGCCGGGGGGCCCCGTCCTCCCTGGGAGCTGGGAGGTTTGCAGCACCCCGCCCCACGTGACAGCTGCACTCCTCCGGGGCCGCCGGGGGCGGGGGTGGGAGACGCAGTGGAACTTTCTGCAAATCGTACTTGCATCTGTAGTGAAAACCCGGTTCTGTGTGCGCGGGAACTTGGGTCTGAAGGTGGTGGTGGTGGAGGAGGAGGAGGAGGACTTGCAGGCTCCTGGAAGCCCTGGGTCAGATTCCTCCCCTCCCCTCCACCCCCCCCGTTTTTTTTTTTTTTTTTTTTTTCTGGGTGTCGCTAGTGCACGAGCGAGTGCAGGGCGCCCGGCTAAGCCGTAAAACCCAGGTCATTTTTTTTTTTTTTTGTAAGACCCTTTAAGGCCACCCCGATGGTGCAAGGACAGAAAGTGAGTCTCAACTGGAATTTAAGGGGCTTAAAAAAAAAGAAAGAAAGAAAGAAAAGGAAGCATCGTTATGAACTGTCGTGTACTCCATTGACCGCCGGCCCGTTTCCCCTAAAGTCCCCGGGTCCAGCCGGCCTGCTCCCGGGCTTGGAAGGCATTGTGCGGGCTTTCCTGTGGAGGAAGAGAGGCCTTGCATCTGGACCCTGTGAGATGGGGGGGTGGGGGCGTGGATCATGAGCCAGGGCCCGGTTTCCGTGGCGGATTTGACCGCTTAAGCTTCAAATGACACATTTGGTCCTCCTGTCTTTGTGCCTTGGCATTTTAAATTGCAGTTAAGGTATGTTCAGGGACCCGAATAGGGCGCCAGAAAAGGCAGACCACGCGGAATAGTTCCCTTTTTAAAAATTACGTGAATCGGTCGCCTCTGTCTTCGTGAATATCCTGCTCCCTTCAATAGATTTTTGGCAGAGGGAGTTTTAGGGCTGGCTCCTGGGGGGCAGTGTGGTATAGTGACAGAGCCTTGAGCTGCCCTTCTCGTTCTCCTTTTTGCAGCATGTATTAGCGGTGTGCCCTTGGCAGGTCATTTAAATTCTGGAGGTCCCAGTGTCCTCCAGAGAACAGTGAGGCATCGGCATCATGAAGGATCCTTTGGGTTCCACATTCTCCTCTTCCAGTGTTCTGGGTGTAGACTACAGTTTTTCGGAATTCTTTCCCTGATTCCTTTCTGGCTCCCTGAAATTGCTCTGCCTCTCCCCTCTCGGGGACCACTGGTGGTTGCTACTGCTCGAGCCCTATGCTAAAGCAGGGGGGTGTGGTTTATTCCTGCTTCCTCCCCAGTCCCCACCTTTGCCTAGTTTCCCTTTGAATACAACCTAGGAGGTGCCAACTCCGTGTAGGACCCTCCATCACCGCTCCCCTCAGTATTTACAACTCCTGTGCCCGGCAACACGAGCCTGCCAGGAATAGTGAATCACACTTTCCTCTCTCGTTCCTGCAGGTGTGAGGCCAGAGTCATACCCAGCAGCTGGCCAAGGGACATTTTGGTTCTTATCCTGTTGGGAATAATACGGTGGTCCTGTAAAGGGATCCCAGCAAAGTTGCTTAGCCCCATTCTGGTCTTTCCCCCTCATCCACACATTTTTTTTTTTTTATGACTTGATAATGTCTGTATGCTGTGTTATCACGACGCATTCTCTGATGTGCCTTACATTTCATTTTGTGTGTTGTGTAATTGTTTTTTATTCAAAACTGGGCCAGGTCCGTGTTTTGGGGTGGGGGAGTCGGGGAGAGGGTTTCATGTGGTATTTCTAGTCCTCCCAACAAGCCCTGGAGGCAGTAGTCTTACCATCCTTACCATTTTATAGCTGGAGACACTGCTGAGGATAAGTCTGTTATCAAAATCATCAGTGGTGAAGCCTGACATTAGCCCAACTGTATATCCATTCACAGCCTTAACAGAATCAGTTGTGAGATCATTTGAAGCTATTCACTGAGCACATATTGTATGCCGGGGTATCACTGGAGGGTCTGAGAATATGGGATGGCCCTCCAAATTTTGGTAAAAAAAAGACCTAGAATTGCCTGTCTTACGATGTCTGACTTAAAGTGTTCTCAGTTTGAGGGAAGTATTCACTGGGGAGGGGGAGTCATTCAATATAGCTTCCCTGGGGGGGTACTTAGGCAACTGACCCTGCTCCTGAGGGCTCTAGGTGTCCCATTCCAAAGGCCTCGGAAATGAAGACCAATGGTCTCTCAAATGATGATGAAAGTCAGTTGAGATTTTTTGTTTCCATCCCCCTCTCCAAAAAAATTAAAATGCTCTTAGCATTATCATATACTTGTGGCATAGCTGTGAAAGAGCAGACTGCCAGGAATGAGTTCACACCACCGGCCATTTACCCTGAATGGGCACAGTTGAGCCAGAAAGGCAGTTTACCACTCATAGCCCCAAACACATCCTCATCAGAAACGGGCCAAGTGTTTCCTGGGCTTCCCTGGTCGTGCGCGTTTGTTTAGGGACAGATGTTGTTGTGCTGATGGATTTTGCTGCTGTTGTTGACAGCTGCCAGAAGTTGCCCTTAGGATTTTGACTCATTTCCTCAAGTCTCCCCCCACCCCCCCACCCCCACCAGCCGATGAGAGGACACCGGGAAATGAGCCACGGTGTCCCGGTGTCCCGAGCGAGCAGAAATCTTAAAGCTGGCCTTGCAGGATGAGAACCTCTCCGAGGGAGGCAGTGGTCAAGGCTGCAGCAGCGTTGGCTCCAGAATGGATTTAGTTGGAGGGTCCACAGGCTGGGACGAGGGAAGTGCTTTGTTTTGCAGCATGCACGGGAGGGGACTTTCCAAATAAGGGACTGAAAGGCCTTGGAAGGAATCTCAAGTGTGCAAAATTTCATAGGCGGTTTCTGTAACTTGAATAAGGTGGCTTTGTGACTGCAAGTCCAGAGCGAGGAGCACCTGCCAGGGAGTAAGCAGAGGCACCGGTGTGAGTAGAGGGCAAAGCCAGGGTAAATCTGTGTCGAAGGGGAGGGGACTCTGAGGAAGCCTGGCCCAGGACCTCTGATTCTGGACGTTTGGGACCCGAGACAGCCCAGCTTTTGACTTCAGACTCTAACTAGGTAGGGAGACGTTACCGGCTGCTGGCCCCTGGACGTGTGTGTTTTGTTTTGTTTCCCCCCACATGCTGCTTTTTAGGAAAACATCGAGGCGGTGCTTAAAAATCTGGAGAATTTATGTCAAGTTCTCGATTTCTCTGTTCTCTTGAAGAACGGAAAACTCTGCCTCTTTAGATGGGATTTGTGTTCCTTAGGAGGCTCCAGGAGATACCACTCTTTGCTGCCAGCCCTTAGACATTGTAGACTTTAAGCCTCAGGCGCTGGTGAACGTAGATGGGCCATGCAGGTACCTAGTGGACAGGTACCTAGTAGACAGGTACTTGGTGGACGGGTATCTGGTAGGTAATTGGTGGACAGGTACCTGGTGGACAGGTACCTAGGGGACAGAGCACAGGCCTAAGTAGTGAAGACAGCCTTGTATTAATTAGTCTGCTGGCTTCGTGGCTGAGACCTTTGGGGGCTTGGAGCAAGTCTGTCACCCCACTGAATTTCCTTTTTCACCCTCGTTTCAGCTGTGTGACTTTAAATTACGAAACCATTCTGTTCCAGTAAATCTGTTCTACGTGTAGCGTTTTTAGAATGGTTGCCAGTACAAGCTCAATACATGTCAGTCAATAATTACCATCTGTAAAATAGGAATTACTGTTTTCCCCAAGATGGAAATCATGCCTACTCTCATATGATTGTCCTAAAAATCAGAAAGAGATTCTTGTCCAGATGCTTGGCACAGGGCCTGGGATGGGATGGGCACCTAATGAGTGAGTGAGCTCTGTGAGGATGTAGAATTTGACGGTTTCTCTTTGGAACCTTTCATGCAAGGTACCAATTAAGTACGAACATGACAGCTTTTAACGTGAAATAAACTTTACTTCGTGTTTTGAGTTTTATATAGCTTTTGACCTAACCGTTGGGAATCCCTACTCGGAGACTGGATGGATGTTGAACTTTTTTTTTTTTCCTCCCCCAGAAAGACAAACAAACTCAGAAGATTTCTCCAGTGAAAACATTCACATCTGCTGATTTTTCCATTCATCCTATGCTCTGGCCTTCATGCTATATTTTGGTTACTACACACTTTGTTGGGTACCTGCCTCCTTTTCTGATGGTTACATTTTCCACACTTGCAAACGTCAGGCT